CTGATAATGACTGTCTCTGGATTTCTTGCGTTTTCCTGAGTGTTTCTCTTTGTGGGGTTGTGACACACTGGATAAGTTACAAACCTTTTCCCCTCAAAAATGCAGCTGTAGACACACACACACCATTTTGCATCAGCATCACAGGATTCACAGATGCCATATTGAGACACTCTTGCTGTAAGCAGAAGACCCTTTTTTGGCATAGTATTTTAATAATATAAGTCATTGGTTCTTTTTTTTTTTTTGTGAGGAAGATCAGCCCTGAGCTAACATCCATGCTAATCCTCCTCTTTTTGCTGAGGAAGACCAGCTCTGAGCTAACATCTATTGCCAATCCTCCTCCTTTTTTTTTCTCCCCCCCAAAGCCCCAGTAGATAGTTGTATGTCATAGTTGCACATCCTTCTAGTTGCTGTATGTGGGACGCGGCCTCAGCGTGGGCGGAGAAGCAGTGCGTCGGTGCGTGCCTGGGATCTGACCCTGGGCCGCCAGTAGCAGAGCACGCGCACTTAACTGCTAAGCCACAGGGCTGGCCCCAAGTCATTGGTTCTTAATAACCAATTTTTATAGGATAATGAGCACTGTAGAAATCTATGGTAAATAGTATTTTTTTCGGCCACAAACACCTGAAACAAACCATTTGTGTACTTTTACATAAGACAAAGACTTCCTAACAGTTCCTCCTGGTTCCAGGCCTTCACTCCCTGTGCTGGGATCTTTGGGTGGGCGTTCACTGAGGTCTCAGTGTCTTGGATTTCAGGCATCCAGAGCTCACCAACTGTTTGGCCTTGGGCTGAAATAGGCCTGCAGTTAGGTCTTTCATGGCCAAGTTTTTTTTTGTTTTTTTAGTGACTCTAAATGCCTTTAGACGGGTGTGGGCTCTGCAGAGCACCACCACACCACTCTCTCTCTCAGTCTTTCATCGGACACACTTGACCTGTTTCCATTACCCTCCTGGCTCCTGAAGGTGTTGCTGTCCCCTCTCCACTCTAACTCTAACCCAGTCTCCCTGTCTGATTATGAAACAAACAGTTATCTACTTTTGAAATTTATTTAGACCATTTTTTTCATAAAGAATAGGGACAGATAAGAAATGACTTCAAATAAACATGGACAGCTAACTCATTAGCTTTGTTTTCCATTCTCTGAAAAAAATGCTTAACTGTGGAAAGACTGCCTCATTCTCCTCTCCTCACACTGTCTGCCTGGAATGACACTATATTTTCATTCATTGTCTAAACGTACAAATAGCTCAGTGAATGCAAATTTTTTGTTCCTGTAATAAAACTGTGCTTATCGTGCTACTCAAAGGCTCAAGAATTAGAATCTTTTTCACCTGCTTCCTCCTAAATTGCTCCTGCAAATAATTCATTTCCATCTGGTTCTTAGTACTCCCTTTCCATGAGAACATAGGTGCTACGTCATTAGGGGAATAACATGATTCTGTGGGACATCTGTTAAACTGGGTTTTCTATTCCATCATATGAGGTAGATAAAGCAAGACCCAATGTTCCTGTAATGTGTGAGAAACAAACATACACGTTATTATGAGGATTGCCCACTGGATCTGAGTGTAGATAACTTCACCACCACTGACAGGATGGGCAGTTTTCCCAAAACGTCATTCATTATGGTTTTACAAATGGACTGTCTGGTAAGATCCCAAGGGGAGGTTGGTCCTCACAGAGGTGAAACACTCTCCCCGCTCTTCTCTGGACAGTAGTGCTCTCCCCTATTCCCTCTCTCCCCAGTTTTTCTCTCTCTTTCTCTTTTGAATCCAGCTCTACAGAAAACTAGCGACCCTCTACTCCTTCCCCAGTGTATTTCAGTGAAATTTTCTTAAGCTTCTCCTCTATAGTTTTATGGCAAAGACCTGTGAAAATTAGCACAGAAGTCATAGTTTTAAAAAATGCACATAAATCATAAAGGGGCATAAAGGATTAATTCTTTTGGGCCATTAATATTGGGACATTTAAAACACTAAATGCTAATATATTATATAAAATGATAATATAATTCTCCATGTACACAACGCTTGAGCATTTAGGAAGCATTTTTATCTGAATGGCCTCACACTGATGTACCCATTGAAGAGTGACTACTTCACCTTCTTGTCACGTTGCCCTGTGAGAATAACACTAACAGTAAGCAGTGGTTAATACTTACACCATCTTCCTCCAACCATGGTTGGATGCTGTTTACCAGGGGAAAAGTTCAGATCCCGTGATTAGGAAGAGAGACAGCACACAATGAGGCGTGTCTATATTTATACTAGGATTATCTGCAAGCTCTGTTGGAAAACAAATATTCAAAAAGGATGGAGAGAGCTTTTAGGACTCTGAGGCATACACAGGTGATTCCCATAAACCACGGGTGCTTGATCTGGAGGGATCGTGTGCAACGCGGGGAGAGGAGCCCAACGCTTGGCTTCTCATCCCTCTTTTTTCACTAATCTGCTGTGTGGTCTTGGGTAAGTTACAGATCCTCTGTGAGTTGAGGGTGTTGGGCTGTGTGATCTTGCGGTGCATGTCAAGGTTTAATATTCTATGAGCTGGGGCCGGCCCCATGGCTTAGCGGTTAAGTGTGCGAGATCCGCTGCTGGCGGCCCGGGGTTCGGATCCCGGGCGCGCACCGACGCACCGCTTCTCCGGCCATGCTGAGGCTGCGTCCCACATACAGCAACTAGAAGGATGTGCAGCTGTGACATGCAACTATCTACTGGGGCTTTGGGGGGAAAAATAAATAAATAAAATATTTAAAAAAAAAATTCTATGATCTGTTAATACACATAATACCCCAGTAGTTAAAACAGGAGAAGGAACAACCTCCATTTCTGTCCAAGGAAACGTTCTGCTTCCTTAGCACTGCTGTACCCACAGGCACTTTTGCATTGAATGAGACTCTTCCTGACAGACCCACGGCGCTCTGACTGAACACATCTGAGGAGCAGGTCTTCTCTGGTGGCTGTGGCATGTAGTGTTGTGAAACATCAGCTCAGAGTGGAGCCGTGACCTCAAATTACCCACTGTCAGAAAGGCTAGCTGCGAGTGTAACCGAGGAGGAGAGACAAGAGGACATAGTGACATCTCCAGAGACGGTCTACTTGGGACCGGCTCCTTAGACTCATGAACACTCAGAAGAGGAGGGCACACAGTCTTCTCAAAGACTGAGGAAGCCTCACTCTGTGGGGAGGACAGGGCCCAGGGGCTCACGTCCAAAGGTGGGCGAGAACGTGAGAAAAGTCTGGAAGGACCTGGAGCTGCAAATACCAAAAAGGTTTAATACAAATAAATCTATTTTCAAGGTAGACTGTGGCTGAGAGAATCATTAAAATGCTAGTCTTCTGAATAACTTTTTGGTTGGGTTAAATTGATTAAAATATGGAGGACCGATTTCTTACATCCTCAGAGTCTGAGTTGAGAAAATTTACCTAGTCAAACCTTTGTTCCTCCATTATTCCAACGTGCAGCACCGTCCTGTCAACTCCCCCTTCAGCTCCTGTTTGGCTCATGACTAACGTGCCCGCTCCTCTCCTGCCTGCCTGCGACACCGTCGTCCGCCTTCCTCTTCTGGCACTCAGCACCGTATACCTTCTATGTATAGTAATTAGCTTTTTAAAATGTGGATGTACTGTCTTCCCAGAAAGGTTATAAAAATCTTGGAGGGTCTTTTATTCTTCTTTGTAATCTAGTTTGCAGTAATTAACAAGGTGCTATGATTATAACAGGAATTTAACGATTATTTGCTGAGGGGATGACGGGATGGGATGAATGAGGCAAACAATGTAAAGGGAGAAGCAGAGACTCAGAACTGCACTGTGGAAGTGGGACTCACACTTCGCTTTTCAGTTCCTTCTTAGTCATCATTATGAACTTGGTTCAGGATAAGGACAAGAAGAAAGGGACATTTCTCCATCTGAATTTTCAGTTTATAAAAGGCATCTCCCAGAGAGGCACTTAAGGTCATTGGTGGGATTCATTCATCCCTTTATTCATTCTCTTATTCTTTTTCTGATCAAACTTTTTAAAAAATACATCTCACATGCCAGATGCTTGTCACAAAGACATGCGCCTTGTCCTCAGGGAGCTCACGTTATAGTAGCAGAGATGTTGATGAAAACAATGATGGCAGCACAGGGTAAGGGCTCTAATAGAAGTCTGTGCAAGGTTCATTTGTTGGTAGAAAGGGGCTCAGCTGTTGGGGATGGCTGTGGGGGGAGCAGAAAGGTGGCACAACAGAGGTAACGTTTAGGTAGAGTTTAAAAAAGAAGGAGTTTGACTGGTAAGAAAAAGAGGCTAGGGCATCCCTTTTGAGAGAATAGTGAGCTCAAGGGCACAGAGCGGTGGAACAGCATAATGTCTCCAGGGAATTGCAAGTTGACTAAAATTGCTGCAGATTAGAGACCAAAGAGGAAACCAGTGGTCATGAAGTTGGGGACATCAGCGGTAGCCATGTCACCAAAGGCCCAGTTAGACACTTAGAGTGGTAGGCAATAGAGTTTTATAGGGTCACCGAAACTTGAAATGTGTTACTAGAAAATAGAATCTTACAATTGGGGATGCATCTGTCACTATTTCAGTATGAAAAATTATATATAATTTGATCTGATTTCTTTTGTTTGTTTGTTTGTTTTCCCCCTAATTTTATTGTGGGTTAAAGATCTGCATCATGTGGTAAAAATTGGTGTGAATAAGTTCTTTTTAGATTTTAAGTATAAAGGATGATAGGAATCCTAAACCTCTCTTTTGACCTTTTGTACTAAATGTCCAATAAAAAAAATAAAATTACTTTTAATTCTGGCAGAATCCCTGCAATAAGTGTGTGCAATCATGCATCATACCAAGCAGGTTGAAAGGTCTAATTTTACTTGCATAACATATTCACTGTTTTACAGCAGATTTTCCCAGTGAATAAATTTTGGAAAAGCAATGCTTTTAAAATAAGCTTCCAGCTTGTTTTGCTCAGGCTTAAGTATATCATAGGGTCCTGAAGACTCGCTCACTGCGGACAGCAGGTGGCTCTGGAGGACGTCGCTGGAATGCTGAGTAGCATAACACGACAGAACTCGGGGCTACCTGGCTGCAGGTAGGATGACCGAGGAATGATCTCCGTCATCTTCAAATGATAATATCATAAGCCAGCAGCAAAGTTATAAATAAAAGAGGGCCTATCTCGTGGTGGGTGAGGTCTTTTGAGCAATCAGGGTGGATTTCCATGAGCCCTGTCCATTTTCAGCTTGAATGTCTCTGGCTTTTTCTGATTTCACTCTGTGTTCTCTTCTCCATCTGTTCTTTCTCTTTGTCCTCTCCTGTCCTGTTTTCTTTTACTCTGTTCTTGCCGACAAATAATCCTCATGTGTGCAGAATACAAGTTCCCTGTGGCAGGGGCTTTGTTTGTTTGGTTCCTTGCTGTTTTCTCAGAGCTTAGAAGTAAGTCTGACATAATAGGTGCTCAATTAATATTAGTTAAAGGAATGCTGGAGATGTAGCATAAGATCCTGATACTGCTTATCATCTATGGGGAATAATGACACACAATAGATGATGCTATGAAATGTGACAGGTGCCTGCCAGAGAGAGGCAGAGAAGGCTTCCAAGAGAAAGTGGTGTCTAGGCCTGGACCCTATGGAAGACTAGAGTTAGATGAATAAAAGAGTTATGGGAGAGGAGGAGATCAGGGATGGGGGAGGAAAGACTGGTCCAGGCAGGCACAAAAGAGAGAGCACAATAGATTCAGAGGTACTGAGAGAAGCTGAGTGCAGCTGGAGAGCAGAGCGTGGGACGGGGGGAGACAGAGGCTACAGGAGGAAGAGGGTAGAGGTCTTGAAGGGCTTAAAAGATCACAAAAGGCTTCCTAAAGCATTTAAAGAATTTGGACCTTTCCTTGTGGCAATGGAAAGCCACTGAAAGGCTTCAAGCAACGAGGTGATAAACTTAGGGGTTTTGTTTTGTGATTTTTTAGCTCCCTTTGGCCGCACTGTGGATTGCTCATGGGGAGTAGGTGACAAATCGAGGGAAGAGGCAGCAGGAAGTCTTGTCATGTCTAGAAAGTCAGTGGCATTATCCACTAATTCTGTAACAATCACATATGACACCAAGTTTTTATACATTGAAGACATCTATTTCAGTTTCTCTGGTTAGATATTTGCCACATTCCAGAGAAGAATGGGATGGCATTTACTGAGCATAACACATCTAAATGGAGGGTCCAAATCAATCATGCAAACAAGGCTGAGGGAGGAGTATTCAAACACTAATTTTGGAAAATTCTCTTCTCAAGGACCATCATACACTAGAGAAGCATCATTTACATGCATTTTAAATTTATGTATTTGAGCAATTCCTCTAAAGACCTGCTAACTAAACTAGAAATAATTCTTATAACATTCAAAATTAATAATGTCATTTTAAAAAACAATCTACCTTTTACCGTTTCCGATTTAATCCACAATGGTTTTTGTGCGGTTTTATGCATATTAAATTTACAGTTTAAGCATTTTACCTGAAGGGAAAGAAGGATCAGTGTCCAACTTTTTGTCTTGTTTTGCTTTCTCACACATATATGTGCACTGGGTAGAAAAAAGAAACTTCACTCAGAAAGGTTGTTTTTCAGTGTTTCATTTATGAAATTCTATAGGATCAATTTTTAGTTATTTTTCCCCCTCTGACAACAGATTTGCTCAGGGAAAAGGACTTCACATGGGCTCAATGTTATACTCCTGAGAAAGAAGCCCAAGGTCAAGTTGCTGAAGCAATTCAAGGCATCAAAAAACAGCAGTTATGGTTACCATAAGCTTCATCCATTATTTAAGCACAAAAGAGGATTATTTGATTGTTTTTGACATGGTGGTTTTCATCTACAAGCCTCAGTCTGATTTTTGTATTTTCTTTGGTGTTTTAGTTCATTGGTGATTTTAACACAGGTGTTGGCTGGAAAGCTGGATGTGATGGGCAAGTTGCTATGTATTCAGTTCTGCTTGTCATGCTATTGCCCTAAGTAAACATCTTTCACAGCATTAAACTTATTCTCATATCTTTCTGGTAAACAAAACTGAACTTAAAGCAGAGCCCTGAAAATTTAGGAAGAAAAAATATCTGCTTGTAGAAAAATACCTGAGATGTTAAACCCAATATGCTATTTAAAAAATAACATCCTAATTTGCAGGAAAGCTCCTTTCATTCCAGCATGGCTATGCTCATATTTTTCATTTGAAACATGAGCTTGGTCGTCTCCAATTAGGCTCAGGTAGACATTTGCTAGCAGTCTACAACCAGAACCATTTGGCCCAGTTTTAGATTATTGACAAGCTCTTCCCAAATGGCTTCTTTCTGGAATCCAGAGGAAGTTTCATGTCAGCCTTGTAGTGCATTAGCGTGGCTGTCAGCAAGGCTTCCCCAGGGCTGACTGCCTTCTGCCTGACTTCAGCCACTGCTGTCAATCTTTCACTTTCATGAGCCCTAAAATGATCCCACCCTCCCTCTCCCAAGTATCTCTTAAGAAGGGAAGATTGACTTATAATTTAAGGAAAAGAAATATCTTCCATTTAGTACAGTGAGTGCTCATGTTGTTGATGATAAAATGGGGATGAGAGCCTAAAAGTATTCAACTTGTATTTCTTTATTTAGGATTTTTTTGTTTGAAGAGAAAGTCCTAGACATTTTAATAGTTCAGTCTGTTAAATGGTGGAGTTGATGATTTAACCTGTAAAAAAACGTGATACAATCCACACATGGGAGTTGAAGCCAGAGTGACTTGAATGCCACCTCCTAAAAGTATAACCATTGGGATGACAATGATACAGGAAATAGTGATGAGCTTGCTGTACCCATGGGAAGACATAAAAATGCTAAAAATTCATCATCACTACTCATTATACTAAGAACTATATTACGTTTAAAATAACGGAAAAATCTATTTCTAAAAGTTTCTCTCTTGGCTTAGATTTATAAGTCAAGGTTCTCATGGTTTACATTTTTGCTGAAGCATGCTGCAACTCTTCTCGGAAGCATCACGTTTTTAAGAAAATTAAAAACTCCACACTTTATCCCTTTTCTAAATTCTCATCTATTTTGACCAGATGCTTAGTTTCCAAAAGTATTATGGAATTTAAACATGGTGTCCATTTTTTAAATAAAACTTTCTTGTTTTGTCCAATGAGAACTTTCATTAAGTACTAAAAATCTTCCTTAGTATTTCCCTTGTACCAGATCACTTCAGCATTAAAGGAGAAAACGTTCTTCCTCTACTCTAATACAATGATCTTCATAAAGATTGAAAGACAATAAAATATCTGATAAAAAATGCATACCTTTGACCCTCAAAATCTGTGTCAGTGAAAGGGGAGTGAATATTTCTGAATGCTAAAATCTGTACTAGAATCATATTTTCTTGGCAGGCTGATCTAAAGAGCTTTATATGACAGTCAAGTTATACTAGCCTTGACAGTACAACTGGGTGAAAAAGACTCAGGTCTGTTTTTATATTTAATTGGAGTGCAAGGCTCAGAATATCAGAGCAGGATACTCCTGCAGGTTGTCAGGAAGGGCTACTTTTGAGGACACTGAGTTAGGAATGCTGATACCCGAAATGCTTTTCAGCTTGGCATTCAATTTATAAATTTGGGGAAATGGCTAGGTATCTCTATATATTATTTCTATCTCCTGTGATTTGAGGAACTGATTGCATTACACTTGATGGTGGATGGGAAGGAAGAAGGAAGGGATTACATGTGAATGGATGTAAAATAAGTATAAATTATACTGTGCAAAGTCAAGAAGGTAGGTAATCATTATTGGACAAATTCAAATAGTAATATTAAACTTTAGTATTTAAAATGGAATTATGTATATATATTCCGTGATTGTGAGAAATAAGTTAAATAGACTATCAAAACATATAACAAATTATAGAATTTTTGTATTTGTTGCTAATTTGAAATGTGTATTAAGTATTAGATATAAAAAGTACTTAAATTTTTGCTGAAAGAATGTAGTTAACTGTCGGTGTACTTGAATCCAGGTAAGTCAGTAATGAAACGACTTGTCTGGCCCTTAAATCTGACTCCCTGCTCCCACAGCTCTCTGATCCCCCCAGGAAGGAATCCTCAGCTAGCACTGGCATCCTAAGCTCTGTCTTAGGCCCGGGGCCACTACCACCCCTAGACAAGGAGCCCCTAAAGCCATCCGACTGAACACTGAGTCAGCTTGTGGGGTCCTCCTCATCCATTAGCTCCTGCTTGGTTCTTTGAGATCAATCCCTGCCCAGTTCTCACACCTGGATTCTTGTTCCGCCCCTGACTAGTGTGTATGTCTCATCAGAAAAAAGTGGTACTGGAATCCTGTGCCCCAAAATCCATTGACTGTGTCTTGCACAGATCATTTGCCTTCCCGGACTACCACTCGTTACCTGCTGCTAGATGCTCTGGGTACTACGCTCTGCTCACCAACAGAGACACCCCCTTCTTCAGCCCCGGACACATTCGTCTCCTGCTGGCCTGAGCCTGAGGGAGGTTGCCTAACATTCCACTCCTTCCTAATGCCTTATACCCTCTTCTCCCTGCTGTGTCAGGGCTGGCCCACCCTGGTCTACCACTGACAGAATGCTGGCTCTGCAAACCCACATCTTTTCAGAATTACATTTCTGAAAATCCATTGGTTGTGAATGGATTATAATATGCAGGACTGAATATTTTGAGATATTGAAGGAAATTTTATAAATATTTATATAAAATATACATCTATGTAACATATGTAGGTGTATTGTGTGTGGGTATATGTATATTTCTTTTTCCTCTATACCCCACACCCTAGATGTCATCATACCTTAAAGGAGATAGTTCTTTCTTAGTGGCCTTGACTTTCAATATTCTGTTCAGCTGAGCTGCAGAAGTTGATTTCCTAAAAGTTACACAAATATTAGGGCATGTGTCAGCTTCTATCAGCCTCTTCTGCCTCCTGGACCATGCCACCACACCTGGAGGCTGACCGGGCACTTGCCAAGTCCACCTCCTCTCATTCAGGTCCATCAGCTACAGGCTCAGAACTCGTGACTTCCACCACCTCTGGACTTGAGTGATACACTGCACTGCAGAACGTGAAACCTGGCATCTCACGTGG